CAGCCCAGAAGAAAGACTATTGGTGACTCTTCCGCACACCAGGTCTTGCTTCCCTGCAAGCATTACTAATTGGCATGTCAACAAAAGTTGTGGGAAATGCAAGTTTTCATAGAATCACAGAATAGTTCATGTTGGGAGGGACCTCTGCAGAAGATGTGGTTTAACTCCCCTGCTCAAGCAGGAACACCTAAACTTAAAGCTTGTCAACAGAGTTCTGTGAAAACTAGAAAGTTGAAGTGAGGCTCCAAAACACATTAGTAATAGGAGTAGAAAAAATGACTAAATAAGTAATTCCAAGGTGTAGATACCAGCATGCGATGACTCTTTTATTTTCTGTACTCTGTGCTGCACTTCAACAAAGATTATTTTTGTTTTCTGATTAAAAATATCGTACAAAGCATGTGTTCATGTACCATTATCAATAGGAAGACAACACAGACTACATCCAAATAATGATTTCAAGATATAACTCAGGATTTCAATGAACTTTTGGGACTTAACAGATAAATTTAATTAAAAACAAAACCAAACCAACAAACAAAGAAACCCAAACTTGCTCACCCAGCAGCCTGGAAGGTGAACTGACAAGATACCTTTATCTGAAACTTAAAAGATCCCTGAGCTACATTGTTGCCATCCTGTTCACAAACAAAAATAAGATGAAAAAGTAAGCATCACATTCTAGCAAGCCTATGAGGTTCTAGAAAGACACACTAGACACTCCTATGAATTCAATCTGTTTTAACAAGCCCAGAGCACAGACACGTGTGGATTATTTCAAAACACAGAACCGATAACATTCATTTAGTTTAGCTTTGCGGGCACAGAAGATGGTGACACATATTTTCAGCCATTAGCTGGAGCTAATAAATTGCTCACATAATGAGGGTCCAAGTCATCTGACACATCTAGTTATCAGGGCATCACTAGGAAGAGTTTGTACCATCTACATTGACTTATTTTGCTATTGGAGTCCTTAGCTGTTTCAGATAAAGCATCTTAGTCTTGATTCAGAACCAGAATAAATAATTTTCACCTCCCAAATTAACACCCTAGCTGCTAGGCTGCAGAGCCAAGCTCCTTTGTGCTTGCCCTCTTGACAGCGTCTTTGATATCCTTATGCAGCCACTCAGTTGAAGGGACTCATGCCCATGCTTATGCAGCCACTTAGCTGAAGGGACTCATGCCCACGCTCTACCCTTCCTGGACAAGGGCTGTAAGCAAGAAGAGGTAATTGAAGAAGTTAGTACCTCTTTACCCAGTTGCTGTTCACTTCTTTTTAACCGCAGGTACACAGAAGTACCCATCTGCAGCCTGCAAAACATGAGAGGACTGATGCCACCCAGCTTTGTCATTTCCTCTTATTTACTGGTAGGTAGGACTTCTTCCCACTCCTTAATCTCTGCATTTGTTGTTCAGCCATCTGAAGCTCATATTTCCTCACGCCTACTTCTAGCTTCTGGATTCCCTGCTGAAGTTTGTAAACCTATCAGCTAGATGAGTGTCTACTATCAAAGTCCTAAAGTGCACTTACCCACCAAATGACAGTTTATCCCTCTTTCTGGCTACAATCTTCCTTATAAATCCACAGTTCTCCCCAGCAAGTAAGTTCAAAATGTCAGGTTCCAAAGTTTTTTATTTACCCTTCCCTTTTCCCAGTAGAGTCAGTGGGAGTCTACCAACAGAATTCAGACACTGTTGGGAATATTTGGAAATTTCTGCTGTGCCGGGGGGAAAAATGTCTTCTGTGCTAGAGCCCAAAGTAAAAGGTGTGATTATATTTGTTCCCTGTACATAAAGAAGCTGGACGCGAAGGGATAGAAGGTTCTGATCAAGTACAGTTAGGCAGAAGTTGCTCCAAAAATTCCGAGTTCAGTGTAATGGTTTTTGCTGGGATAGAGTTAAATTTCTTCATAGTATGAAGAAATGTATGGTGCTGTGTTTTGAATTTGTGCTGAAAATAATGCTGATAACCCACTGATGTTTTAGTTACCACTGAGCAGTGCTGACACAGCATCAAGGTATTCTTTGCCTCTCACACTGCTGTGCCAGCAAGCAGGATGCAAGTGCACAAAGAGTTGGGAGGGGACAAAGCTGGAACAGCTAACTGTACCTAACCAAAGGGATATCCCATGCTATAAGACATCATACACAACAATAAAAACTGGGGGGAGGCTGGTGGCGGGGGTTGCTGCTCAGGGACTGGCTGGGCATTGGTCTGTTGATGGTGAGCAATTGTTTTCGTTTGCAATGGTTGTTTTTCTTGGGTTTTATTTTCCTCTCTCTGTTGGTTTACTCTTTTTCTTTCCCTTAAAATTTTTTAAGTGTCTTTCTAATTATTAAGCCGTCTTTATCTCAACCCACAAGTTTCTTTGTCCTTTTCTATTTCTTTTGCCCTTTCTATTCTCCCCACCATCCCACCAGCAGGAAGTGAGCTGGCAGCTATGTGGTGCTTAGTTGCCAGCTGGGGTGAAACAACGACATTCACATGGGAGAGAACACAAAAAGGAAGTGCCCATCTCTTCACGTAAGTCTTAAGAAAAGGCGAGTAGTAGTAACTTCTGATTTCTTCAGTAATGGTATAGACACAGTTCATCCTAACCTGTGGCAGAGGAATGAACTACTGACCAATGTCCTTTCTAATCCTATGATGGTCTGACAATGGTCAAACTCAATGCTTTTCAGGAGTAGACAACAATAAAGAAATATCTTTCTGTGCCAGATTTGCAGAGAGGGCAATAGAACAGAAATGGCCCAGCTGTGTCCACCATAATCTGAAATTGCAGAGATAATTCCTTCTGCCAGGCAAACCCAGACTAATTTTTCTTTAAGATTGGTAAGACTCACAATACAGCCTCACAGGGACATGCACCAGCACCCCACAGAGGTCTGCCACAGAGCATAAGGACTTTGGGACAGAAGCAAGATGGGTAAGTAAAAGCCTGCATGCAGCTTTGAGATAAATAGTGAAGGGGAAGATCCAGGTGCCTCCCTTTTGTTCATGTAGTTCAGCAGTCACCCTGAAGGAAGTGGTCAAGGGGTCTCAGGCAAAAGATGCAACAATTCTGCAAGTTTGACTTTTGGCATTGCTTGTAACCATGAATCTTACAGCTCAGATGTCATCTGATACCTGTACAGTGGTTTTACTATACAACACACTACATAAAACAAAAGAGCCTATGGCTTCCCACAGTGTCAGAAGTTCACTGGCTGTTTTCCCTCCCAGTCTGTGGAGGGGGCTTTTTCTGGACCAAGGCATGTTTAGGGATGTGACAGAGGCTGGACTGAGGACTGAGGACAAGCACTCCCACTGCTGCATTCAAAAATCACTAAGAAATCACATTATGCTGCCTTGAAGAACTGGGTCTGTCCTATGGGGGGAAAAAAGTTTCTCTTTGAAGATAAAATAAAAATATTCATAACATTCAGTGTTGATACAGTTAAAGTGCAAAATGTCATAACCTTGTAATTGCCTATGACCAAAACTACAGACTTTAGACTGAAGTCTAAACAGCTTTCAAAAAAGTTATTTTCCCTTATTATACCAAAATATTGAGCAAAGTTCAAATTATTTAAGATCTCCTGAGAGCTGTAGAAAAGCTTCAAGGTGTCAAGTGAAATGGCATTTCTAACTAATATTAATCTCCCATCTATTTTCCAGAATGACCAAAAAAACCCAACTGAAAACCAAGAGATGAATCAAAAAGCCCCTTTGAACTTTCAAAATCACAGAGAAGATCCCATTCAGAGACAGCTATTACGCTCTAAATGAAAGCATAAATAATATGATGCACACTTGACCCAATTTTCCTGTAACAGAGAATTACCCTGCTGATCCCTCACCAGAGCTATGTTCTCTTGCATATCTTGTGCAACAAGAACTTTCTGAGAGGGCAATCACAAAACCGAGAAAGAAAGACAGGTAATTACAGATGTTCAAGGAATCTTTAGGAGAGGAAAAACAGTGCACTGCTGTGCCAAAAATAATTGCTCCTTTGGTCTGCCTGTCTCTTGAGGTCCTGTTTCACATTAATTAACAGTCCTCCCAATAAGGAAGAATAGGTTGGTTTCTTGGTCTTTTGTTTATTGATTTTTTTAACTCAAGCCATTCCCTTTAAGCATCAGATCTCAAAGCGATTTGAAATAGAACAGCCTGGGTTGGAAGGGACCTTTAAAGGTCATCTAGTCCAAGCTCTCTGCAATGACCAGGGACATCTTCAACATGACCTGGCTGCTCAGAACCACATTCAACCTGATCTTTATTGTTTCCATGGCTGGGGCATCTAATACCCCTCTGGCAACCTGTTGCCATGCTTCAACACTCTCATTGTAAAAAATTTCTTTCTTATATCTAGTATGAATCTACTCTCTTTTAGTTTAAAACCATTACGTCTTGTCCTATTGCTACAGATCCTATTAAAAAGTCTGCCCCCATCTTTCTAGTAAGACTTCTTTAAGTATTGAAAGGCCACAACAAGGTCTTCCCGGAATCTTCTCTTCTCCAGGCTGAACAAGCTCAGCTCCCTCAGTCTTTCCTCACAGAAGAGTTGTTCCATCACTTTGATCTTTTTTGTGGGCCTCCTCTGGACTCACTCCAACAGGTTTGTGTCTCTCCTGTGCTGAGACTTCAGGGCTGACTGCAGTATTCCAGGAGGTATGACAGATTAAGTGATGCACTTTGCTCATAAGAGAGAAGCACCAATATATTTATTGATATAAACCAGCAATTTAACAAAGCCTGATACTAAAAGTGACAGTGATGTAACGAGGTTTAATGGCAAGTTACACATGACTTTTTACTGCATAGAGGACAAAACTGTCAGGTCCACCCTCCTGTTGAGTGATGAGGTTCAGAAAGGATCCCCTTGCTTTCTAAATTCCCTTCTGACTTAGTTCCAGACTTGGTCAATGGTTTATGTCTAGAAGATTATCTGTGCACAATCAATCCTTTATATCACTTAGCTATGATTTCAAAGTTTAGCATGCTATTAATCACTTACCAAGAATCTGTTGCAGCAAGGAATCTCTCAGCCACAAGGAGTAACCTTGGGAGGCATTTCCTATTCAAGGGAAGATCCTGGTATGCAGTCTGCTGCCATGCAGGACAGTTCAATGGGCCCTGGGCTGTCTGCTGTTCGTGGAATAAGATGGTTGACTTATAGTCATACCTACATGCCAGCCGTATTTTGTGTTGTTGCATGCTCAACTACCCTTGAGCTGTTGAGCAAGACTTACTGCCCTTAGCATTGAGCAAGATTTATGGCCCTTAACTATTCTGTTGTTATCTGTAAGACAGACAAAGGCATCACGACCATCACTGGTGGCTATTGCTCAAGCAGAAAAAGGCAGGGTGGGGAGCACACCATCACAGTGGTGCCTCACAAGAGCAGAGTAGAGGATACAGTTGTCTTTCTGGGCTGCAAGCACACATTGCTGGTTCGTGTTGGTTTCCATCCACCAGCACCCCAAGACCTTCTCAGCAGGGCTGCTCTCAATCCCTTCCTCCCTCAGCCTATATTGGTTTGTTGCATCCCAGATACTTGCCCCACCCCAGATACTTGCCCAGATACTGGCAAGTATCCCAGATACTTGCCCCACCCCAGATACCTGCCCCACCCCTTCAACTTGGCCTTGTTGAACCTCATGAGACTCCCATGAGATCACTTCTCAATCTTGTCCAGCTTCCTCTGAATGACATCCAGTTTTTAAGGACTGTCAACGGCACCACTCAGCTTGGGTTACCTGCAAATTTGCTGAGGGTGCACTCGCCCCCACTGTCTATGCCACTGATGAAAGTATTTAACAGTACTGGTCCCAATTTGGAACACTGACTGACACCACTCATCACTAGTCTCCATTCGTACATTGAACCATTCACCACTACTCTTTGGATGTGGAAATTTGGTTTTTCCTAAAAACTTGTTTCTGTAATGCTGTAGCTTCAGAATGAGCCAGGAGAAACTGAACAACTGAACTTTTGCTTTACTGGTAGAACAGTCCTCTAGAAGACAGTTTTCTTCTAAACAGACTGTATGGAAACGGCAGACAGTCATGTGAACCATGAGGATGAGTCTGCTGCAGATTTAAATACTAAATCTGGCACATATAAATTGAAGCCCCTTTACCTAGCACTGCCCACCCACTCTAGATGGTGACAGTATAAGCTTCTGCTTCCATGGGAGATGAGTGTCTAAGTGCCTTTAACAGTTTATGGAGGTCTGGTGTGCTGGTTTTGGCTTGGGTAGAGTTAACTTTCTTCACAGTGGCTGGTATGAGACTCTGTTCTGGATTGTGTTGAACACAGGGTTGATAATATAGTGATTTTTTTGTTACTGCTGAGCAGGGCTTTTCTGCTTTCTTACTGCCATGCTGGCAAGGAAGTTTTGGGTGCATGGGAGGCTGGGAGGAGACACAGCCAGGACAGGTGACCCAAACTGACCCCAGGGATATTCCATACCATATGACATTCTTGCTCAGTATATAAAATGGGGGAAAGAAGGAGAAAAGGACATCTGTAGTGATGGCACTTGTCTTTCCAAGTAACCATCATGCATGATGGGGCCCTCTTCTCCTGGAGATGACTGAACACATGCCTGCCTGTGGGAAGCAGTGAATTAATTCCTTGTTTTGCTTTCCTTGTTTGTGTAGCCTTTGTTTTCCCTATCAAACTGTCTTTATCTCAACTCTGAGTTTTCTAGCTCTTACCCTTCCAATTCTCTCCCTGATCCTGCTGGCGGGGAAATGAGCAAGTGGCTGCCTGGGGCTTGATTTCTGGATGGGGTTAAATCAAGTCTTTTTTGGCACCCAACATGGGGCCCAAAGGGTTTGAAATAATGAGAGATCTGATTGGGATGTGCTAGACTGAATTTATATCTGTAAGTGTTGTTTAGCTAGTAATGAGCAGGCTCCTGTACTTGCCATAGGGCTCACTTTCCTGTCTGTATATTAGAGTCTAGTGCTTGTTAGTGGCCGCTTTTTGCTTTCACTGCTTCTTGTAGTGCTATACAGCTTATCACCTCACTGAATTGTGCCCGGGAACATTTTGATAACAGCCATGGTGATGCACCTGGGCTGGCAGGTGGCTAGTGTGTTGTTGCTGTTTCTGTTCTGCTGTACTGGACAGCCTGGAACTTCACTCTGCACTTGAGCTGAAGTTCAGAGTGAGCGAGCGGCTGCATGGTGCCTGGTTGCTGGCTGGGGTTAAACCATGACATCTGGTCAACAAAGGCAATGGAGCACTGCAGAGAGCTGACCAGTGCAGGTGGTCACTGCACTCCCACTCCAAGTGAAAGCAATGAACATTTGAGGAATGGCCTGGGAAAGGAAGGAAAAAGACTTTCAGTTAGAAGATAATTCCTGTCCAAGAAAGCGAAATGGAAAGGAAGGCAGCCAGGATTACATTTGTGTTTTACTGAACGGGAGTGATTTCCCTGCACAGTATTCCAGTAGGTGACCAGTGAGGAAAATGGAAAGGGTGAAGAAAGATGAAGGTACCAGAGGAAGACCAAGGTGGGATCAGGATGCACTCTGGTTCATTTATGAGAAGCAATATCTAACGTGGCTGTCACTACTCAGGGATCAACGAGGTCTTTTCCCAAGGACATGCACTCTCTGTGTGATGTCGGCCTTCTAGGGAATGCACTCCCAAGATGACAGGAATCAAAGAAACTGAAATTCTTTACAGGTTTCTGGTATATTGTATGTAAAGCAGGTTACCCAGCTACTGACATCTCTGCAAACATTCTGGATCCCCCAAAAACAGTTGAAAGACACATGTCAGTAAAAATATATAGGCACAGATAGGGCCAGACAAGAAGAATTACGCCTTTGCAGCAGCAAAAGAAAAAGATATAACTCTGATATGCAAACCCATAATAAACATAGATAAATGCCAGGATAGCCTGGATTACTTAAAAAGGAGATAACTTCTCTAATATCATATTTGCACAGAAACACTGGAGCAGATGGGCAATGATTACGTTAGTTGTGTGGCTGGCAGAAATTCTGTTTGCAAAAAGTATGAAATTACCTTCCAGTAAACGAAATGGGGAGGGTTTTGAAAGGTCATACTCTCCATGCATAACAGAATAAATGCTGGCATTAGTCCCTGCAAGATCTTTCTTGTGTATTTGAGCTCTAATGAATCAAAGTTCAGTTTGTGCTCAGATCAGTATCCTCAGATACATAAATATTCAAAACAATAAGGTTGTGTTTAAAATAAAAACTAAAAAAACTATGAGCAAAGCTCAAACAGACATTGGCTGATTAAAGCAGGAGTAAGAGACAGATACTGTAGTTTTACTCTGTGGTTTTTCTCCATAAATAATGTGCACTTACAGTTCCTGAAGATTGTTGACCATTTCATGAGGAAGCTTCTAAACATGGACGGAGTAAATAAGCCTACAAAGATAACAGGCTCCCTATTAATATCACACTGATTAAAGAGAGCTTGTTAGTGGCTGTTTTTTGCTTTCACTGCTTCTTGTAGTGCTATACACCTTATCACCTCACTGAATTGTGCCTGGGAACATTTTGATAACAGCCATGGTGATGCACCTGGGCTGGCAGGTGGCTAGTGTGTTGTCGCTGTTTCTGTTCTGCTGTACTGGACAGCCATTAAACACCTTTTGCAGTTCTCTGGAAGCAAGTTGGGAAATCACTTATGTACTTTAAGGAAAGTGAAATGTTATAGATGAAATATATAAGGATGTACAAGTACAAAATTGACTAGGTTCTCCAGTAGCTTCACATTACATCAGAATAATTGCATTCCAGGGTTTTAAAAGTATAACATAGAATCATAGAATCAGCTGGTTTGGAAGGGACCTCCGAGATCATCAAGTCCAACCCTCAGTCCAACACCGCGGTGGTTACCAGACCACGGCACTAAGTGCCACATCCAGCCTCATCTTAAAAACCGCCAGGGACGGAGAATCCACCACTTCCCTGGGCAGACCATTCCAATGCCTGATTACCCTCTCTGTAAAGAATTTCTTCCTAATATCTAACCTAAACCTCCCCTGGCACAGCTAAAGACCGTGCCCTCTTACCTTACTGATAGCTGCCTGGGAGAAGAGACCAACCCCCACCTGGCTACAACCTCCTGTCAGGTAGTTGTAGAAAGTGATGAGGTCTCCCCTGAGCCTCCTCTTCTCCAGGCTGAACAACCCCAGTTCCCTCAGCCTCTCCTCACAGGACTTGTGTTCAAGTTCCTTCACCAGCCTTGTTGCTCTTCTCTGGACCTTCTCCAGCACCTCAATATCCTTCCTGAACTGAGGGACCCTATAATATCAACCCTGTTAGTGAAGGCACAGAGGGAACATATCTCCCACCTGATAGCCCCCAGCTCGACAATTAGACTGCTCTCTTTGCATTCAGAGATTTGAGGTGCTGCATCTGCCAAGTCATCTGCAGTCAGGTAACCTCAGGGCCACGGGCTGTCACTGCCTTGCACAGGTAACAAAGTCCTATTGTTTCAGCCAGGCATGCAAATACAGGCAGTAGCTAAGCAGCCCACAGAGTACTCCTGTCTCATCCAAATACAGGGAAAGAATAGGGTAGGATAGGATAGGATAGGATAGGATAGGATAGGATAGGATAGGATA